AATGGTTTAACAGTGACAAAATAGCAAAAATTATGCACACTAAGAATATGGCAAAACAGAAAAACATGCAATCCAGGTGCTTACCACAGATTACTGCAAGTTGTGCGATGAGAAAGGACAAGAATGAGCTCGAAATGTCTATTATATGCATAAAAATCCGATAAAGTTAGAGTTTAAATAATCCAGCAAGTGTAATGGGAAAGAGGCTACAGTCAGTTTCAAGGTCATGATGAGTTCCTGCGTCGGCTGGTTATATGTTATCGTGAATTCGATTTCCATTGAATTTTAAAGGTTTTTTTGCATGTTTTTCCCATTTCGCAGTGTGTAGATCAGTTTATGTCACTGGATACTACTATTAAGGTGATTTTTAGCCTAAAGTTCGCAGTTTTTATGTTGGTAGTCAAGGGTTATGCTGAACCTTTAATGATTCAGCCAAATAAGGTAAACTTTTATAATATAGTAACCTTATTCGATAAGTAAGCTGCCTAACCGTTCTGCTATTGTTTGAGATTAAAACTAAGAGCTGGTTTCTTATCACGATTGAAAGTAAATGGAACCGACTGGGTTTGCTTATCCGCTCTGTTCCATCCCTCACAGGACAAATTAGTTTCGAACTACCGTTATTTCAGAACTAAAAGACTCAATTCAGCACCTAGGTATCATTGTAAGCATGACCAGTGTTATTTGAGAAAATGGTGGGTAAATAAGAGCTTCATTTACCATAAAAAGGCCTTATCGATGAATAGGTTAGAATAAGTTTATGAATATAGTAGGCTTGGTGGTGTTGCGGTCTAAGTGATAAATCGTATTAATCACCGTTATTCATGATATGCTATGAACCGCAAATGCTCGGCTGAAAAACGTAGTAAATAAGGCACAGATCGTTTTAATTTGTAAGTGACTTTCAAAGCGCTCTCTTAACGAAACAATCAACCAAAGTATTCTTTAAACTGTCGGTCTTAGCCTTTTGAAAGGAAAGGAAGTGTAATTGCAGTTTATACATACATGTTTATATTCTGAATACAAATGGAAATAAAAAGGTAATACAAATATTTTCACAAAAATAATCGATTAACAGGGGCACATCGTAATCTTAAAGCTGTTTGCGGTTCATTTGCTAGCAAACTGTCCAACCTTCTGGTAAACTCCGCTATTTCCCGCAGTGCAGCATCCGGATTTCTTCGGTTCAGACTGTTGAGACGACATCTTAAGCGTTCATAAGCATTTCGAAACGCGTTATTTGGTTCCGGTATTAACCGGATGGCCCTCGGAATGTTGTCCGTTGTGTTATATACACGTGTCCACCTCTCACTATTCCTCAGAATATCTAAGAGTAACATTTAAAGAAATGGAACATACCACAATTTAGATATGAGTTCAAGAACGCCTCAACGACATGTGCACAAGGCAAATTGTATGCGCAGTATGTCCAACATGTGCATTTCGCCTCGTTCCTGTTTACGAAGAATATGTGACCACCTTCTGCGTAAACAACTGAGGTAGAAGATATTGAATGGAAGAAGAAGGAACGCCTTTGTAAATCTAACACAACTTTCTGGGCAGCAAACGGTGTGAGACTCCGTAAATGAGACTTCAGGGAATTAGGTACCTAGGATAAATCGTAAATTATCTTCGAACTTACATCGTAATTGTAGTATTTAGCAAGCATCCACTGGCCCTGACGTATTTTACGCATGGTTGTGTGGTCGATCCACCTCCATATTTTCCATAGCGTCAGTTCCATAGGATCACCTTTACGTAGATATCTTTTCAACTGCCTATGAGCATTCTCAACTCTGTTGTTAGTATTGTTCCCCATGCTGATGGTGAACCTGTTGCACGATGCAGCCCAATATTTGCGTGTTCTTAGCCAGTACCTTCTAATGTAAGCACCAGCCTCAGCGTCTACAATACTTATGAGGTTTAGGTAACGCCAAAACCTTTGGCAATATACTCTGATTTGCTAACCTACCTGTCATAACTGCGCGTGTGCGCCATTCGATACAACCACTTTTTAACAAGCTGGTTTGGGAACTGTTTTCCCTATGTCAGTTAATGGGAATGTAACTTACCTTCCTTCTGAATGCCTGGCATACATGGAAAAGACACAAAACAATATTGCAACTAGGGAATTCCTCCTTTAGGGCTTTCATCTGTGCAGTTGCACAGTCGACAGTGAATGTTAATGTTTTCGATGTATCCACCATAAATCTCTTAAACGTTTGCAATATCTCCTTGATATCTGCAAACGTTTCTCTCCTAGTAAGAGCAAACAAAACAGTCCTTCCTCTTCCGAATCCATCAGTCACAACAAACTGATATAAAGGCCATCTGTAACAAATTTGGAAAAGGAATTATACCTTGTTGTACTGAAACTTACCCCATCTTATTCGTTTTGTAAGTACAATCGATTCCAACTACTTCTGGAAACTTATGATACACGTCTATCATATCATTACGAGCAAAAATGATTTTAGATACAAAGCCTGCGTTGTCCTGCAAAACTTTAACTGGACCTGTCTGCCTCAGTCGATGAAGCAGCTCTTCCAAACAACCAATTTCTATTCTACTGCACCATTTATTTTGATAGGACTTACGTTTATTTATCTTAGCCCGCATGTTTTTAATATCGTTATACAGGAGCGCTTTTCCGAACTTCTCATATGCTAGATCCATGATTTCATGGACATCAGTATTCCTTTCAATGAACGGTTGGATAATTGCCATTTCTTGTGATGATAACCGACGTCTAGATACATCGGTGGACATAAAACTTGCTGTGCAGGGATGGTTATGCACAGTTTTGTACTTGGTTATCATGTATACGTTGGATTTCCGCTGGACTAGAATTATTGACTGACATGATGTACTTTTGAACCTTAAAATTTTTAAAATTTGCACACGCAGCCAACTTACCCTCTGTTCCTAAAGCCAGCACCTCGGGGAGCACGATGACTTCCAAAAGTGCATTTAAACTTCACAAACTTGTAGTCATCAGCACCGGATGGATCTTTTTTACTTGAATCAACACGATAGGATGTATTGGATTCCTTTCAAAGAAATAAAGAACAACTTAGTTAGTACCTTCATAAATGTGTCTAAAGCTTCCTTAAATTGTGTCCATGTATAAAATATACAACACAACATTATCCTTTGGAATATAGCTGTTACATCACACAATAAAGATGATACATTTCTTGAAGTAGACGCAGTAGGAGTACTTTGCAACATCATTTAATCGTTTTAACAATTCCTAACGTGCACAACACTATGACTTCAAGTAAATAAACACTAGTATACATTTCAGCGCTTATATACCACTGGCCGTGACCTTGTCAATTTACTTCATTTATGCTGACGTAGTACGCACAATTCCCACAAATCATTGAAGTGACAACTTAAAAAAGTAGATTAGTTACTACATACATATTTCTACATGTAATAATTCAGGACACATTAAATTTATAGAAATGGTGGTTGAATTATATTTGCCTAGTAACCAAAATGGCATACATCCTATTTTGTACTTAAAATAAATGCATCAAAATGATTGTTGATTTATATTCACTTTCTGGACATTCTCATACATCTCAATATACTTTAAACATCAACAATGCATCCAAATAGCGTGTGACTATCACACTAAACTCACACCAAAAAAATTAACACGCCATTATATTATGGTAAGGTAAGCCCGAAATTTTACTGACTGTAAATTTCCGTGTAAAAATAAAGAGATTGGCGCTTTAATTCATATTTTAGACCAATAAAAAGCCAGCTAGCCAACAGCCAATAAAAAACTGCCTATATCTATTTTCGTGTAATGGTGCGTCCGGGTGAACAAAACGTCGTTGGAGTCAACAAGTTATCGTCGCAGTGAACAAGTTATCTTCGCGGTGAAAAAGTTGTCGTCGCGATGGACAATTTGTCGTCGGGGTCGAAATTTGTCGTTGGGGTCAACAATTCGTCGTTGGGGTGAACCAGTTATCGTAAAGGACACCAATTTGTCGTCGCTGTGGAAATATCACGACGTACGTCGGGCTCACCAATTTTGTTGCGTGCGTTGTCTGACTAAACTGCTGTACACATATATTCTATGTATTTCTTCGTTCTTATTGATGTGCGCAGACGTTGTGGCTACTCGACGCCCACAACGTAAATCAAAAGGCACTTGCGAAGATTACGAATATGTATTGAAGCAGTAGTCAAATTCGAAATTGTCAAGGTAATATTCAACAGTGAATGGACAAGTATTTACGAAGTATATATAAAATCGGTCTGTATACACATATAATGCAAGTGTACAAATTAGATTAAAAAGCATGTTTACGGTTGGTATAGGGGTACTACATAATTCCCCCACCAGAACACTAAAATATAAAAAGAATACATATAAGTGTTCGAAAATAACATGCGTCAGCGTAATACGTAGCAGCGGTAGTACACAGAAGGCGATTTATTAAGCTGAAAAATGAGCAGTTTAATGCGGTTAATAACGTCGATAATAAATGCGATAATCTAGGGAAAGTGGAATTACTAATCGTAATAGAATATATAAGGAACGATAAAATTGTCCAGGGATCTGTAGTCGGTAGCCGAAAACGATACGTGAATAATATACGAGATGTGATTAAATATAATAATATAGGAAATATCGATGTTAAAATAATAGTGACGTGATTTATGTATGAAAATATTAATCAGTTAAATGAGTAATCAAATGACAATTACGAATAAAGATAATAAAAATGAAAATTCGTAGTAAGTTATATTTCGATGACTTGCACGTAACTTACTACACTTGAATATTCATTTGATTTATTGTGTTTCAACAAATCATCATGCATTTTTCTTTTTGTATGTGACATGTACATATCGGTAAACAAAAATGCTAGCTGTTCTTGATGTTTGTTAAAATAATTCTGCATAATTTTGCCTGTTTATTTCATGTGTATAATCAGACGTCCAGCGTTTCATTTTCTCATTTTTTTATTTTCCAGTTGGGAATGCTTGGAAAAGAGCTGTAAATTGCAGTCGCATTATTCTGTGTTTCTCAGCCAACTGACTGCTTGTTTCACTAAACGTTTCAGAAATGTCGATGTATTGGTGGGTGCTATGTAAAAAGAAATCTCTTCCTCCCTCCTCCGTGATCGTATATTCTTCGTTTACTATTCGATCTATAAGTTACCTTTGATTTCTTTATATTATTAATTTTGTCAAACAATACATTCTGTTTCTTGTGGGATGAACAGGTTTTGTGCTTTCTATTCACCTTTGTTGGAACTTATAACCATAATGTATCATTATAATGACAGCATGCATGCCTCTTTTTGATTTTTTTTTCGGAATGATCTGTTACTTCTAGAAAATACAATGTATGCAAGATTTAATTGTTTTAAATATCAGTCTCCTCCTACTCAGAATCATTGGTAAAAGTGATAATTGTCTTTTAGTGTCTGCATTACAACTTTAGCATATCACAATTTTTTAGTTGAGGTTCTGCACATGTTACGAAAAATTATTTGTGTAGTCGGTGAAGAATAGGAGTTAAATGAGGATTCAGATCGATAAAGAATTCGAATCGCGGGTTTTCCAATTATAGTTTCATCGCTCAACTAGCCAAGCTATGAGGTTCACTTGCTAACCAGGTCATCATACCATTGCAATCACAATTTATTGTACTAAAGTATCATGTGTATGAATGATACGTAACTGTCCGTTTATTATTAGAATATTTGAGTTAGTAAGATTTGCAAGGATCCGCAACACAACGTTAGTGTTCATTTAATGCCTCATTTATTTGCTACTGTTCAATACATGAAAATAGGCGTGCATTAGATTTAAGGAAATCGAAATGATATATACTTGAAAGAGGAAAGATTTCGATAGGATCAAATGATATATGATACATTTCAGTTATGATTATTTCGAGGGAATTCTGCGTGGTGGAAGAGAATGAGATAATACCAATAAAGAAGGAAGAAAAATTAAAACGGGAGAGCGAGACTGGGATGTGACAGTGGAGTAAATTGGGAAGACAGTTATTAGTTTGCAGCATGTAGTGGTGACGTCGCAGTTTGTTCGAGACGGCGGTTGTTTGAATGCGTCTTGTATGTCACTGTACAACTATGCGTTGTCTGTCTAAAGCGTTTTTCGGGTGATGCAGTGCTGTGGAGTACGTAACAATGTGATTGTACACTTTTTGGTTATTTGTAGAAATTAGAGATATTGTACATAATTTTTGTTTAAAACGCTTCTTGTTGAAATATACTTAACTTCCGTACACAATTGAAAATACACGTTGCTGTTGGAGACTTCGCCTTCTCCCTGGTTATTTCTGCTTACTTGCTCAACTCACACCGTGTTGTATACTTCGGATTTATTGTAGGAATCTACTGCTCTCAACCGAAGACGTTTCTACAACCGGAACACAGCAGACGCAACCCAAACAATTAACGTACCCGTGGGTTATATAAATAATTTGTAGCAGAGGACTTAAACTTTGTATCCAAGTAATCCTTTTTGTTGATATAATTCGTCACTGCATTTTTGGTAATATATTGTTATTCAACATTTCATTGACTTGGATTATATTTTTCATATTTGTAATATTAGTGAACTCTAATATTAGTCCCCTACAGTGCTGCTAAAGCGTTACAGGGGCGAAAATTTCGAAGTGAGTTGGGAGTAGAGTCGACTTTTCTCCTCGGTGAGTGGTCCTATATTAGTTACCATAATGACTCCACGTTGACATCACGGACTTAGGGGTTTTCCTGGCCATTCTTCATGAGATTCGTTCTCAGTCAGTGGTAACTCAGTGATGGAACTTCACTGAAGGCTTCCATTGAATGGTTTGTTACGAAGAACTACCACCTCACCTGTTGCTCTTCTTCCCCCACCCCTCCAACAGGTTGACGCTCCTTTTAAAGGATTGTGGACGGGTGGTGTTTCATGTCCCATAACGATTTCGTTGTGCGAAAAGCCTCAGGAAGATCTGTGGTGTGAATTTACCTACGTGCGAATTGTAAGGCAGAACATGCCTTAATTAAATACCACAAAATCTCGCGCTTGTATCTAGGTTCTTCATTAGAGTGAGACTTAGTTCACACTCTGATATTCTACAGCCCGTGACGTGATGGGTAGCGTTTGGTGGTCACGTAGCTTTACCACTGTGCACCCTTTCGGGGATAGAATATATTTGTTTGAGTACGCCCAGTTTTATTATTTTTTCAAGCATACATAAAGCCACTACGATTCTTCCATATGACACCGTTTCAGTGTAACTGAGGCATTAGGACGCTTGGTGACCGAAGTCTTCTGCTTCCTGGAGGTCGACCTGGCAGAACCTAATGTTCACAGTAATAGCTAATCCTTGGGATCATAACCATGTTTCCTTTCGAGGTCGGTGGTTTAGAGGCTGAGGATATTGCCGTTCACGGATAGTAAGAAGTATACTAATGCAAGATCTAATACCAACAACTTCTATAGTATTCGTTCCGCGTAGACCATAGGCAAAGCAAAACGCAATAAATCATCGTCCAAATTACGAGATATATTGCGGGACCGAATCGGGGTGCGAGATGATTACTTAGCTGGCTAGGGATTTTGAAGGTTGACGGTATAGACGTTCGCGAACAGTACTAAGTATATTAACACAAGATTTTACACAAACAACTTCTATTTTATTTGATTCTTGTGGACCAAAGGCAAAGCAAAACACCACAATTGATTCTCCAAATTACGAGATATATATTGAAGCGGAAACTAAGCTAGCTAGTTATCATGCACGAAAGTGACATGACGGAGTACTAAATGGCGGGGATGCTTGACCGGAAGCCTTCAGCTAAACAAGTCTACTTAAACTCTAAGGGTCAGCATCTCATGTTCATTGATGACTCTTATGGTCACGATGTAATTCTCCTCTTAGACATAATCTATTCTTATGGTCAATAATTTTGAGGAATTATTTACCGCTACAGCTCACTCACCCCTAGTGGGGTTGTGAGGACCCTAAGTCAGAACCAGCAGGAAGTATAAAACCTCGATGGTTCCCTTTTGGGTGAAAAAAATCTTCCGAGCGGCTTGGTGGCGTGCCTACTGGTTCCTTCTGTCGACTTTCTTCTGTAGCAGGAAGGATACTGACTTCGGCGCCTTTGTCGAATAAATATCGGGTCTGGCTGATCACATCACGAGTGTAAAGCAGGCGGCTAGTGCCACCGGCGACGGTTGCCGCTAACGCGTTCTGGCGCGATAGTTTCCCACAGACTTTGAGACATTTCCAAAGTTACAAGGTTTACGGCAACATTTCCGTGCAGGACTTCGCATGATCGACTGGTTCTCTACATGGGTATAATGACACTGAATATAACGAGCACCTCAACTGAAGCACTAAATACGCTCATCGATCTCCAGTACATTCTACTTCGCTCAGCCACGCAAATATCAGAAGAAAAAAACTGTCATGTAACTTTACGTTTATTAGTAAGAATCGTCATATTTATGCCATTCAAGCACACATCGAATTTGGTTAGTTCAATGACAAATGAATTATTCCTGTACGTTACAATAGGTCGGAGGTAAGTCAGTGAGGTGGTAAGACTGTACAGTGAGATACAATGATATCAATTGAAACTATCATGTCTATATAACAAACTAAATTCATATCTGAAAAAATCTAATTCGCGACCTTTGACTTTAAATACCGATAACAGTTTCAGTTGCTTTCTTTCAAGACTAATACACGAGGAACCGAAATTTGAGGCAGCCGCGCGAACTTTGAAAAGGGAGTGAATTTTACACGCTCTTGTTTAGTATTGGCTTTTGTTGTATTATACGCACCAAAAGTCTACAGATTAACTTTAAATCAGCTTATTCTGATCAAAGCTAGTTTATGTTTCAGATTTGAGTCTATTAAATTGTAGGAAGTTGTGTTCTTATAACCTAATATTTATACATATATATATATATATATATATATATATCTTTGTGCACTCACTAGCTTTTTATCACTGATTTATAAAGGCTATATATATTCGAAGTCATATTTAATTTTTTCCCCGGTTCGTTTTAAATAACACGCCTATCATAAGAAACCGCTGCGGAAGGGCTATGTGCCAGTCTCCGGTGGATGAGGGAATGCAATGTGATAATTGCAAGAAGGAGTTTCACAGTATGTGCACTAAACTTACTCCTGCAGCATACAAACGCTGCTGCAAACCTCTAGCAAACTGGTTGTGCGACGACTGCTGTAGTACAACTAAATTCCGTATTACAGAAGCCATTGCTACTCTCAATGGGGCTTTAAAGCTCATGGACTGCAAGCGTCCTCGACCACAGGAGAATACCGACTTTTGCTCAGATAACGATGACGTGACTAGCGTCATCGACAAAACAGCACATGTCCCCGAAGCGTTCTTGACAATAAGTGAGTGCCCTTCGGCACAGAAGAACACCCACCACATTCCAGACACCCAAGCTGCCCCCGCGGTACTGGATAAGCCCTCCAGTGACAGTAATGGAAAGACTGACGCGAAGAAGAGGCGTACCAGGGGTCGAAAACCTGCAGCTTCAGTCACTCAGGGACTGGCGGATCAAGCTTCATCCACACCGATGAGTAGCAGGCAGATAAATCCTACCACGATTAGCGAGGAGGAGGCCAGTGAATGGCTTTATGTAGTCTCTCGCAAAAAGGGAGATAAAGACAACACATTGGCTACACCGCCCACGAAGGACAGAAACACACACCGCAGAACAAGAAAGCCACGGGAAGCAAACCTGATCTCTCTGACAGGTCTCTCATTCTCCACAAAGTGGACGAGTCACTGACCTGCGATCGTAAGGCCGGATTCGAGCATGACCTATACCTGGTTAAGCCCCTTTTAGGCAAGCTACTGCCACAAACAGTATCAGGCATTACTAGGCACAGCGTATATAGAATAGGCCAAAAACCTGAGCCAACAGTAAGTCAGCCTGTACGTCCCCTCAAAGTCGTACTAAACTCGAAAGAAGAGAGGGATGCTATTCTAAGCAACTCTCATAATCTTAAAGGATCAGGGATATATGTCCGCGCTGACTTATGCTTAGCAGACCGTGTTAAAAGACAGCCTACGGCCCTAGAATTA